CCCCAAAACCCCAAAACCCCGTGAAGTGAAATTTCAAATTTAGTAGCTGGACACTCCAATTATATTTCATGAATTATTATAATATAAGTAGAAATTTATAATTAAGATTGAATGAATTAATAGATATGAATTAAGTTAAGTTTGTAAGGCAACTCTACATATTTGGCTTATATATAATCATTATGATAGTTTATGTCTTTTATTTTACAATTGATAGTCATTGGCCAGAGAAAAAATGCTCTAGGCCATGTTAAGGCGGTCTACCTTGACAACTCTGAAGATTTCTCTACTATTAGAAGATAAAAATCCCCATTACTTGTCCTCGATAGTATTCTTTTTTTATGTCTTTTTATGCACCTAAATCGTTTTTTGGGTCTGTTTAGCTCTTCTTTTACTAGTTATTTTTTATTCAAACTGTCTTGCTGACTCATCAGAGAAATCTTACTAACAATAGTAGTCAATATCGGCAAGTTTTTATTTTGAGACAGGGGAATTTGAAGAGATATCATCAAATAACTAGTTTTGCTCAGTGATGTACTTTTAATCACAAAGCTTTATTTCCTTTTCTTCTTCTTTCTCTTACGTGTTATTTCTGGTGATAGAACGGAGTATTGGATTTCTGAATTCCTCGTTGACATGAGTCTCATCATGCCTCAGAGTTGGACTTGGAATTTCTTAGCTCAATGCTTCTACATTTGTGAATAGGGAGGTCTTGTTTCTTGATAGGCACCTTATTTTGTCCTTGATCATGACTTTTTTGGTTCTATAATTGGTGTATTCAATAAATTCGTGTTATTGGACATCATTGAAATCCTCAATATCTGAGAAGCCTAGGAAGGACATCAACTCGTCCGAGTTCTGTTTAGTCTCCCTTAATCTCTACTGTCTTATAGCCAGGTACTCTATTTGTCGCACTTTGCTTTCTGACAGTCCGTATACAGAAACAAGCTAAGTTCTGGTGGCGACAAGAATATTTCCGAGGCAGCAGTTGCATCTGAGTTGAACCCTAAACCTACTCTCAAGGTTATTGAGAGCCGAGGTATCTCTGGCAATCATAACTTGGATGATTCTGCCGATTCTATGAGTATTTTGTTGTGATTGAATGTTTTCCATTGTTATCAGTTTGATTAAACTTTTAAATTATTAATTGAGATCACTATTGGGCTTATATAGACTTGCCCTGCACCTCTCAATTTTGTTGAATCTACTGTTATTTATTAATTATTGATACCTATAAAGAGGTTGTTTTACTGGTAAATTTCTGATATAAAGTACGTAACTTCCAATTTATAGCTCCCACCAAGGAACCGGATTAAAAGCACGCAGTAGTCTTCTTAAAATATTTCATGAATAGATTAATTAAATCAATTTAGCGAATAATATAATATTCACGTAATGATTTACCGTATAGTTGACCTTACTTCTATCATCAATATCATTTTTATCGAATTTTCATCTCTTATTTGAGAACCACGGGGTTTTGGGGTTTTGGGGTTTTGGGG